AACCTTTGGAATAGAATGGATAGGATTAAAATCAACTGGTATAAATACAGATGTAATAGCTCAATAGACACAGACCTTGGCTGGAGATCCTGGCTAGAGGATCTCCAACTGAATGCTGGTCAAACAAGAGAGAAGATATTACGGCTGCCGCGGCCCTCTGCTCCTCAAAGCCCAACCCATCCTCACAGCCACCCTCGGGCCCATTACTGCCTGAGCGCTATTACTGCCTCATTCTCAGGTATCTAAAACATCCCTGAGAACCCGGGAATCCTCTGCTTACATTGCAGCCATGGTGTCTAATGAGCCAAGTGGGAGAATCATGACCTTCCACCCAACCATGGAAGAATTTAAAGATTTCAACAAATATATTGGTTACATGGAATCCCAAGGTGCCCACCGAGCTGGCCTGGCGAAGGTCATTCCACCCAAGGAATGGAAAGCCAGACAGTCCTACGATGATGTCAATGACATGGTGATAGCCACTCCCCTCCAGCAGGTGGCGTCTGGGCGAGCAGGTGTGTTCATTCAATACCACAAAAAGAAGAGGGCCATGACAGTGGGCGAGTATCGCCTGTTGGCAAACAGTGGACAGTATCAGACTCCACCACACTTGTGTTTTGAGGATCTGGAGCGGAAATACTGGAAAACGCGCCTGTACGACTCGCCCATCTATGGCGCTGACATCAGTGGCTCCTTATTTGATGCCAACACTAAACAATGGAACCTTGGCCACCTGGGAACCATCCAGGACCTGCTGGAGCAGGAGTGTGGGGTTGTCATCGAAGGCGTCAACACCCCCTACCTGTACTTTGGCATGTGGAAGACCACCTTCGCTTGGCACACGGAGGACATGGACCTTTACAGCATCAACTACCTGCACTTCGGGGAGCCCAAAACGTGGTACGCGGTGCCCCCAGAGCACGGCCAGCGCCTGGAGCGCCTGGCCAGGGACCTTTTCCCGGGCAGCTCTCGGGGCTGCCAGGCCTTCCTGCGGCACAAGGTGGCCCTCATCTCGCCCACTGTCCTCAAGGAGAACGGGGTCCCGTTCAGTCGCATCACTCAGGAGGCTGGAGAGTTCATGGTGACCTTTCCCTATGGCTACCACGCTGGCTTCAACCATGGCTTCAACTGTGCGGAGGCCATCAACTTTGCCACCCCGCGATGGGTCGACTATGGCAAAGTGGCCTCTCAGTGCAGCTGCGGGGAGGCCCGGGTGAGCTTCTCCATGGACGTGTTCGTGCGCCTCCTGCAGCCCGAGCGCTATGAGCTGTGGAAACGCGGGCAGGACCGGACTGTTGTGGACCACGTGGAGCCCACGGCGCCGGGCAGCCAGGAGCTGAGTGTCTGGAGGGAGGGCAGGGCGGCCTGGAGATCTGCGCTGGGCCTGAGGCACCTCCAGCCCCGTCGAGCCACGCACACCCCTCAATCAGTGGGCACGGGCTGTGGGTACGGTCGCCGCCACACGCTTGTGCGCCAGCCATGCCTGTGCCCCTGGCTAGGCCGGGGTTCTGCCTCTGCTGCCCAGCCCGTGGCTGCCGCGGCCCTCCGCTCCTCAAAGCCTGACCCATCTTCACAGCCAACCTCGGGCCCATCTGCCCTGGATCTCCAGCCAACTGGCACAAGTGGTCGTGAGAGTGGTCGTGGTCCTCGGGAACAGGGGACTCAAGAGTCCATTGTTCAGGTCCCGGCTAAGAGGCGCCGCCTAGTGGGCGCAGTGCGCACAGCTCCGGATCCCAAAGCCCAGCCTGTGCCTGAGGACAAACCCTCCATGGACAGCCAGGCACTGCTGGTCCCAGCATCCTAACGTGGCTTTTGGGTGCTACTGTGCTCCAGTCCCCTAAGCCCAGGGGATGTCTACTTTTGTTCTCCATGTTCTTTTTTTAAAAATTAAATCTTTATTGTTCAGATTAAAAAAATAAAAAAATAAAATGGTAGCTGGAAGCCTCAGTGGGGTTTTCTCTTGGCATTTGTTTCTAAGGATGTTTTTCGCAGCAAAATCAGTCAGAGAAAGACAAATACAATATGATTTGACTTATATGTGGAATCCAAATAACAAAATAAATGAACAAACAAAATAGAAACAAACTCACAGATACAGAGAACAGTAGATTGATGGTTGCCAGAGGGGAGATGGGTTGGGGAACTAGGTGAAAAAGGTGAAAGGATTAAGAAGCACACATTGGTAGTTAGTGCCAGGGATGTAAAGTACAGCATAGGAAATATAGTCAATAATATTGTAATAACTATGTATGATGCCAGGTGGGTACTGGAAATATGAGGGGAACACTTTGTAAAGTGTACAATTGTTTAACCATTATGCTATATGCCTGAAACGAATACAAAATGATATTGAATGAAAACTGTAATTGAAAATTAAAGTTTAAATAAAAAACAGTTCAAAGCCCATAAAAACTAAATTTTTAGCAACATCAACCAGTTATTATTTTACTGAGTATTAAGTCCAAAGCATGTTGATAGCAGGAATATACTCTCTTGGATAAACTATATTGTACTGTCTATGGAAGAAAGTTAATACTTGATATTGTTATGGGTTGAACTGTATTCTCAGAAAGAAGTTCAAGTTGTTATCCCCAGTGTCTGTGAATGTGGCCTTATGTGGATGTAGCATCTTTGCAGATGTGATCAAGTTAAGATGAGGTCATATTTTAGGTCATATTGGTGGGCCCTAATCAAATGACTAGTGTTCTTACAAGAAGGGGAAAAGTAAGAGAAACAAACAGGGGAATGCCATGTAGCTATGGAGGCAGAAATTGGAATTATTCATCTTTAAGCCAAGGGACACCAAGTGTTGCAACTACCAGAACCTAGGAAGAGGCCAGGAAGGCTTCTTCCCTAGAACTTTCAGAGAGAGTATGACCCGGTTGACACCTTAATTTCAAACTTTTAGCCCCCAGATCTTTGAGGCAATACATTTCTGTTGTTTTAAGCCATCCAAATTTATGGTGATTTGCCATGGAAACCCCAGGAAACTGATACACTTGGCGCTGGGTGTGTGTGTGTGTGTGTGTGTGTGTGTGTGTGTTTGGCGCTGTGTGTGTGTGTGTGTGTTTATTTTTTGATAATAAAGGAGGAAATGTGTTGCAGCTATTATTGATAGATTGATATGGAATGTTGGCACCTCTTATCTTCCTTGTCCTCTTGGTATCAAAAATAGTCCCTTTTCAGGGAAGGCAGAAACTGTAGCAGAAAAAAATGAGCATGAGAATCTGAATGAGACTTAAGACATCAAAGTTCACTAGACACAAGAAAGGGCAATGGTGTGGGACATATCTCATTTGGCCCTATCTATACACAGTCCACAACATGGCAGCTTGTTTCTATAAAGCCAGCAAGAGAGAGAAAGTCTCCTATGAAGATGGACATTGTACTCTTTTTGTTGTTGTTGTTTATTTGTTTTTGTTAATCCTCACTTGAGGATACTTTTCCATTGCTTTTTTAGAGGGAGTGGAAGGGAAGGAGAGAAGGGATGGGGGGAGAGAGAGAAACATAGATGTGATAGAGAAGCATCAATTGGTTGCCTCCTGCCTGACCAGGGCTGGGGATTGAACCTGCCACCCAGGTACGTGCCCTTGACCTGGAATTGAACCCTTCAGTGCTTAGGTTGACACTTTAACCATTGAGAAACACTGGCCAGGGCAACATTGTAGTTTTAAGCAATGCAGTCACTTCAATGTAATTATGAGCATCTCATTACTGTTCCCATATTCTATTGGTTAGAAGCAAGTCACAGATCCTGCCTACATTGAAGGGGAGGAGGTTATATAAGGGTGTGAATACCAGGAGAAGGGGATCACAGGGCCGGCCTGATCGCCCAACTGCCCTCCCCTGCCGGCCTGATCGCCTCCAACTGCCCACCCCTGCTGGCCTGGCAGGTGTTCATCATAGCTCTTGGCTCCACTCT